TAATTTATCCCCACCCCAAACAACTCTATAATATATAAATGATTTTTTTAGCATTGATAACAGCCCAAACATACCTATATACATATAGAATACTGCACCAAACTAATTCATAAGGGAAAAAATGTAAACAATAAACCAACTCTGATTCTATAGTGATTCCAACTCTGAAACCCATAGCTGATTCTAAGTGATCAAGGTGCTTAGGACGTTCCAGTTCAGACCATTCCAAGGGTTCCGCCAGAAGTGGGCACTCATGCAACGTAATCAATGACCCAACTCCATAGCGGATTCTAAGTGATCAAGGGCTTAGGACTTCCAGTTCAGCCCATTGTAAGGGTTCCACCAGAAGTGGGCACTCATGCAAGGTAATCAATGACGTACATCCGAGTAAACGAGACGGAGGGAAGTTTGCGAGTGAAGGGCATAAAAAAACGGACTGGAACGCAGCCTAGTAGTCTTGAAGACAATGATTAGCTGGTTCAGATGTGTTTGATTAGGGTTGGAGCTAAACTCTGAAGGAAAGTGACCTGGAAGGGCCAAGTTTGCCCACCCCTGCCTTAATGAACAGTTTTCATTTTCTTCGTGCAAAATATAATTTCTTAGTCTGATTTCCTTCGATTTTGGGGGTAAAATACGACACTTTGAGGTTTGGAGCAAGTGGCTATTGGGCTCCTTGCAAATCTGTGGTCGTGTTTGCCTTGAAAAAACATTTTCCTTACTCCAAACAACCTCAGCACCACTAAAGCAACACTAAACTCCCTCATCACAGCCAATGATTTACAAGAAGCCCGTGTGCTTTCCAACTTTCACAAGCAGTAATGAGGCTTGATCCAGACGCTTCTGATCGCCGCAGACCAGCAGCATCAAATAAACACAGCGAGCGGCTCTATGCACCACAGCCCTGACATCACACCCTCGAGAGACGGAAAACTGCTCTTCGGATCGGACTTGAGGGATTAAGGCAAAACAGGAAGCGTGTCACGAGCCGAGGTTGTACTTCCTTCCAGATGCTCGCGCTGGCCTCTGTTTGAGGGGCATGTGAGGGTGATACTAAGTGAAATGCTCATTTTGCGTTTGTGATTATCGAGACCCATGGGCGATATGCACTAATGTGAGCTAATGCAATAGATTACACAGCGCTGGCCCTGGGGAGCCGACAGCAAGCAGATGTGCTGTAGTCAGAAAGAAAAGGAGGGGGTGAACGACTCTGTTTCATGTGCTGGATACTGTCCTTTGTAATGTGCAGTTGACAGACTTCAGCAGGCTAGGTTCAGCAGACGAACAAAGCAAACGAACGATTACTAACGCACGGCTGTCTGATAAAAGTGTGTGGGCCTCAAATGAAAGATGCAGTGTGGTCATCTTATATCCAAAACGGGGAATGATTATTTTATCTGTATAAAGGCATAGTAAGTCTTTGTGTGAAGAGATCATTGTGTCCGGGTATCAAATGAAGCAAAGGCACATGGTTTCACTGGCAGCTGTTCACATGTTGGTACACACTGCCCTCTAGTGTGCTGCCAGTCAAGTCACATTTTCTGTTCGCTCCACATACTAGTCAATTACTCCAAAATAAACGTAAAGAACAGTTCCAGGCCATATTTCATCTCAAAATCTTAAATATTTATAGCAAAAATAATAGTAACCCTGGCAATATTAAGGTTGCATTTATTTGATTAAAAATAGAGTAAAAACAGTAACATTGTGAATTATTCTAACAATTTAAAATAACTGTTTTCTATTGTAATATATTTTAAAATGTAATTTATTGCTGTGCTCAAAGCTAAATTTTCAGCAGCATTACTCCAGTCTATGGTGTCACATGAGCCTTCAAAAATCATTCTAATATACTGATTTATTATCAATGTTGGAAACTGTTGTGCTGGTTTTTTTTTTTGTGAACGTGATCATTTGTTTCATAAAAAGTACAGCATTTTTTCAAAATAGAAATCTTATGTAAAAAATACACACTATCGTTCAAAAGTTTCATGTCAGTGCGTTTTTATTTTAATTTATTTATTTAAAAATAAATTAGGCCTAATACTTTTATTCAGCAAGGATATTTTAAATAGATAAAGTGTTAGTAATATTGTTACAAACAAAGTTGGTGGTAACGCATTACAACTAACGCCAGTTACATAATCAGATTACTTTTTTATTTTCAAGTAACTAGTAAAGTAAAATATGTGACCCTGGACCACAAAACCAGTCATAAGAGTCAATCTTTTTTAAATGAAGATTTATACATCATTTGAAAGTTGAGTAAATAAGCTTTACATTGATGTATTGTTTGGCTGAGATACAACTGTTTGAAAATCTGGAATCTGAGGGTGCAAAAAAAAAAATCTAAATATTGAGAAAATCGCCTTTAAAGTTGTCCAAAATAAGTACTTAGCAATGCATATTACTAAAGCCAGTTACTTTGTTTTCCCATGTATTGACTGGCAGCTCTCGTGTTGCCATGTTGAAAGAAATCGGGAGTAAGTGCAGAGGCGTTGTGCGTGCTGTATGAACATAATGCTTACTATAATTCTAGACTAAATGTGTACATGCACACAACTATGTTAAGACTGTGACTTAAAGGGGTAATAGGATGCTACATGCACTTTTACAAGTTGTTTGAACTGAAATGTGTGTTGGCAGTGTGTGTACACAACCACCCTATAATGATAAAAATCCACCCAGTGTTTCTTTTTTTTTAATCTGGTTAAATGTTTTCCCCTTTCTCAAATCGAGCCGATCTCAGATGCCTGTCTGTGTGACGTCACCGACATCTGCCTAAATGTGTCTATGTTCGCGCGAATCATTCATGATCCAGCCTCATCTACAGAAGAAGTGAGTATAATGTTTTGTAATGAATCTTTGCAAATCGCCTTTCCTAATAATGTGCTAATTAACAAGTTTCACAATGAATGCGGCTGAAGTAAACAGTCTCTCTGAGAGCAGCTCGGAAGAGAGGGGCGGGGTCAGCAGAGCTCATTAACATTTAAAGGAAAATGCTACAAAAACGGCATGCTCTGAAAAGAGCTGTTTTTGACAGGGTAAAAAAAAGGTGTTTTTACACTACCATTGAGAATTTTTAACCAAACTATGTTACAGACTTTTCATTAAGACCCTAAAGAATCATATCAACTTGTGGAAAATGGGCATCCTATGACCCCTTTAAGAACTAGTTTGAACAACTAGTAAGTTAACAAAGCGGTAATCAGCCTTACTTTTTGGATTCAATTTAGAACATTCTACCTTCTTGTTACTGACTTTAAAATCTTATGATTAGCTTAGTCTAGTCTGAAAGGCTAGTCATCTAATTTTTTTCCTTCAAGACTGGACATAACTTATGATCTTTCTGAAAAGGGGGAAAAAAATAGATGACTAACTTTTAAGACTAGACTAAGCTAATCATAACATTTTAAAGTTGCATAAACTGCTTAGTCTAGTCTGAAAAGCAAGTCATCTAATTGTTTTTCCCTTCAAGACTGTGGTCATAACTTATGGCCTTTCTTAAAAGGGGGAAAAAAATAGATGACTAACTTTTAAGACTAGTCTAAGCAGTTTATGCAACCGGCCACAGGGTCCCTGTTCTGTCTGGTTCTTGACCTGAAAAGATGCTTTTGATCCCAGCTGGATTTGCTGAAAATTGACTCACAAATAGAGATTCAGCTGTAAAATATGTCCAAGTTACACTGTAGGTCTAAGAAAAATATACCACTTACTGAAAACGTATATATTCAAAATCTGAGTTTAATTTGAATACTTGCATGTAATGCCAAACAATTTGAAATAGTATAGTATACTTTTTGTGCATTATAAATGATATATAATATGCATATATAAATGATAATTTATGGAAATTCTAATAAATACAAAATAAAAATATATCTAATGTGTGTGCGTGTGTAATACTTTACAACAAGATTCCATTTGTTAACATGAACTAACAGCCTTTATCAAACTTAAATCTCAACATTTACTAATACATCATCAATCAAAAGTTAATGCACTGTGAACTAACAAAAATAAAACATTTTATTAACTAACAATAACAAAGGTTAGTAACTGCCTCAAAAATGTATAGCTCATTATCACTTGTAAAGTGTTACCATTTTTTTTTTCTTTTGGGGGTGAAATATGATCAAATATTTCTTTGTAAAATTTACCTCACAAATTAAAATAAGCAAATACTCTTTCTAAAGGTCAAGAGGGGTGAACATCATGAAAGCTACACACAAATAGATGATCATAAAAAGCTTAATTGGTCTCAATCTTCATTAGAACTTCACAAAAAAGACAGTTTGTCTATAATATACAGTGTGCCTAACTATGAGCGCAAATTTTAAGCATATGACATATACGTTTAAGTATATAATAAACATCCACAATCAAGATCAAAAACAAAATACACACCCTCCACAGATGAAAATGAAAAACAGACAACCTGACATTTCTTCCAGTTTGCACAACTGCTTTATTCTGCCTCTAGAAAGGGCCTGAGCCCTGGAATACACCTGGCTTAATAACAAGGTGGGTTACAAGATTGGAAATCCAAATGACATTCTGTTAGAGACAAAAACAACAGCATCATTCATGAAACATTGGACGAGAAGAGCAGGGAGAAAAAGCATCTTGGCTTCATAATTTTTGACCACAAGAAAGGAACTCTAAAGGGAAAAAGTCATTAGTAAAAGTGCAAAAGAAAAATTTAAAATGCAAACCTACAGAGAAAAAAATAAAATTAAAAAAAAAACACAACTACAAACAAATGTACACATGGTGGCCACTACATCCTAAACCAAACTATCTACACAAACCCACTTCGGTGTGTTTAAGAGTCGAAATACTGAGCGGGAGCGAGGACAAAAACCAGTTCGAACCTGCGTTTAGCATGAAGCAGCATTGGTTTCTGACCAAAGTCGAATAGAATCCATTATCACTCAGCCTAACTGATCTACGACTCACAAAATAACTAAATAAGGGGCGATTCATCAATGTGGTGTGAAGCAAACGAAAAAAATAAAACGCTTCAAGTTTATTATCAATGGAAATTGATGCATTTGCTTCAGCTCATGAAAGCCCCTTATATATTACAAAATAAGTTAACTCTCCAAACATCTTCAGAGTTAGTATACTGAACTCAGACAGTAACAGAAACCATGACGAGCTTTAGCCACCATTCCACATACAAATTAATAAAGCAACACACTCGCCTGAAAATAAATATACACTTGATTATTAAGTAAAAAAAAACAAAACATTCTGGTGTATGAAAACGTAACAATCACATCAAAAATGCTCACCACACATTTGGCGGAAACTGCTCAGCAGTGGAGGCGCAAAATCACAGTTATGTTTCATCAATCCTGAGGATCTCATTGAATGTCTTTGTCACAGTGAAGGAGGTTCCACGCAGTCCCTGCATTTACTTATTTTACTTTACTTTTAAATGTACCTACACAACAGTACACAGTACGTCACCATTGCTTCAGAAGTCTCGCATCCGAGACGGTAACAGCAGCTAGATTTTGTACAAATGAGAAGGTTTCTAATTCGGAAATTATCCCGTTCTGTGCATAGCATAAAGTTGACCTGCAAAAGAGATGTTAAACATTAACAATACAGACACTATTAGAGGAAAGCAAAAAACACAGCGGCCGTCTTTGTTTATTCGGTCAGTGCCGTCCCCTCGTGCTTTTAGGCTTTTAATAAAAAGTAATGGAGGCACTTGCTGGGCTTGTGGTTTGATTAGTATTTAGGCCGTCATAATAAACCACCGACCCACAACAGATTCACAAGTCAACTGTCATGCACGGAGTGCGTCTGACGTTCAGCTTCGTGTTAAGTGCACCGCAGATGAATCTATTGCCATAATGGAATGCAAATTGAATCAAAACAACACTGTTCAAGGCTGCAGTCCAAGTTCGTTCTGCCTTGCAGCCAAGGCTAGAGCAGAGCCCGAGGCCCGTATCCACACAGTACATCCTTCCAACACGTCAAACCCTTCGACGGTAGTGTCTGAAGAACAGTGAGCAACATCAAATCAGTTAAACTTTCCTCCCAACCGAGGACCCCACCGTTTTATCGGCATATTTTGAAGCTGCGGAGGAGAAGCAGCACGATTAGCTAAACCACAATGCAATACCTGTGAAATGAGAGCGAGGACATTTGATGACATTTACCCTGGATCGGTCTAAGAGCTCTTATCTGAAGGTCCACAGCGTTTGTTACTCAGAGGGCTGGTTTGGATTCTCCTCTGAGTCATACTAGTGGAGTAGTGAGGGAAGATCAAGGACCTGCTCCCTAAAAAGAGGAGCATACAAGGTAGTGTTCAGTTATGATCACAGGACATCTCCTCACTAAACAACTGTCAAGACCATTTAAGAGGCCATGGTGAAGTCTTAAAACTTTAAATAATTCTTGAAAGCTGCTGCCTGCATTTTTGTAAAGGAAAAATTCTTGAAATGTTATTTTAACACCAAAACAAAGATACACACACACACACATACATACATATATATATATATATGCAATTTTCAGTTTTTGTTTGCAATTTTTGCTGTTAATTAAATAACGTAAAATGTCATAATGCATATTGATAATGAAAAATGAGGGATAAATGTGCTAAACTGACATGTCACAATTCAACAAAACCAATTCCTGAAAATATATATACATATTTAACTAAATATTTGAAATAATTATATGCAAACTATTGTATATTTATACAATATTTTTATATAATAACTACTAATTAATTAATTTAATATTATATATATATATATATATATATATATATATATATATATTTTTTTAATAATCAAAAGGAATTATCAAAATAGTTTGATGATAGTTCTTTTATTATAGAGAGAGAAAATATTTTTTAATAATAGGATTGAAACACAGTTTGTAAGATTTGTTTGTGAGATTTGCCTATATATGCCAGTTTACCAGTATAGTATAATACTATACTGGTGAACTGGCATATATAGGCAAATCTCACAAACTGTGTTTTTGAAAACAAATGGAAATAAGACAACTAAATAAGAACATTCTTTATGCTTATCTTAAAGTATGTAAAAGCTATTTCTTTTACTCAATGACCAATTGCTGACAAACATGTTGTAAATACTCACCAGTGACAGGTGAGGCCATGACAGCATGGCTGGAGCCTGCAGCAGCGGGGTGATAGAGCGAGGCCAGGTTGTTAGGCGTGTAGTTGCGGAGCAGGTTGATGACATTCCAGTCGGCCTGCATGCTGTTGGGAGACGGAGTGGGAGTCACCTTAACCGAAGCCAAGGGCGAGTTCACCTGCAACGAGGTTTTCGCATTTCTGCCAGAGGGCACGATCCGGTTGAAATCCTCTCCGAGCCGTCCAGATGCAGTATGTAGAGGCTCAAAGGACTTGTGTCTCTTGCTAGAGGGTTCACCGACATCTGTTTGCGTCAAGTTTCGGAAACGGTCCGAAAGGCAAAGTCTAGCTGGATCTGTGGGCCAAACCATTCCGTTTTTGCCCAAGCTTGCCCTCTGATTCATCTCATGATCCAGGCCAGGCCTTAGCCTGGACAACTCTCGATCGATTACCAATGGCACATTTAATTTTCTGCTAGATTCTTGCTCTGAGATTCTAGAAAGCGAGCTGGTTGCATCTGATTCCCTGCCCCGTTGGCCCTCCTGGTGCTGATCTCTCCAGCGCTCCTTCACAGGAGAAATCTTAGACATCTGAGGCTGTTTCGGAAGCTTTTCCCCAAGTTTTTCTGGTTTCCGCAGTGGGGATTTGGTCCGACGGGGATGCTTCCTGTTGATGTGGGGCAAAGGAGTGACGTCTTTGCCCTCAAGAGCCGGCGGGCAACCAGTGTACCGTTTTTGTTTCTGAGATCCCCTGTATCCATTCTTCTTGACATCCAACTTCTCCTTGTGGATGAGCTTTTTATGCATCAAGAGAACCTCAGGGTAAAGGGTTTCATAGGAGCAAGAGGTACATGTGTTAGTTGGTAACAGGTTTCTGGGTACTGAGGTAGCAGATGCAGGAAGTGGCACTTTGAGAGACAAATTCAAAGGTGCTTCGGTAGCCTCCTTCTCCTCCATCTTCGGGTTTACCGGTAACAGGTATTTTTTGTTGACCTCACCCACAGGGGTGTAAGGAGCTGCGACGGGAGCACTAACATAATCTTGCTTGACTTGAATGGAAGGATTTGTGCTGTTAATAACGGCTTGGTTCATGCCTGGTTCATGTTTAACACTGGCAGGCAGAGGTTTAGGAGCAAGCCACTGTTTGGCTGGTTTTAAAGCTTGTTTGTCATCTACATTCTTGGGAGGTTCAATGGCCTTGATGATATTTCTAGCAGACAGGGTTGCAGGAATGTTCGGGATTTCTGTGAAAGGTTTGTCCTTGTGACGTCGGTCTAGATGGTACCTCAAAGATGTTTTTTGTGCTGCGGCGTAGTCACAGTATTCACATTTATATGGTTTTTCACCTGTGAAATGACAAGAGAGACGTCAATGTTTACACAAGGCAAAAAAATAACCAAACTACATTCATCCTGTAATACAAGCCATTGGGGTCAGAAAGCAAGGCAAAATTAGACCCAATACGATGTAAAAAGACAATACAACAAAGAACTAACCAGTATGTGTCCTGAGATGAATATTGAGGTAATAGTTTGAGCGGAAAGTTTTGCCACAGTAACTGCATTTTCTTGGAGCAAGAATTTTCAGCTTCATTTTTCCTGATCCTTCCTCAATTTTTTCTGTAGGAAAAGTGACATGTTTAGTTTTAGCCATAAGTGACACATAGAATTCCAGAATAGAAATAAACTGCAAGCTGCACTACACAATGTCCTCAAGTCAAATATGCAAAAGTTTTTTTGACCAGCAGAGGGAGCCCTAAGGTCTGCACCTAAGTTCTGCAATTGAACCCTCGAGACAGAAGTAGCTTCTTCTGTAGTAAAGAGTGTGCATTTCTGGGTAATTATGGTGTTCATTATTCAAAAAGATTATGACAATCTTGATCACTCTGTGGATGAACTTCTGACAGATGACTGTAAATTGTTTTACCGAGCAATTAAGAACTAATAAAAAAAGTGAAAACAATACCAAACACTTGGGTAATAATACCTGGATTAAAGGCGTCAACTGGCACTCCCTCTTCGGAGCCATCCTCCGAGTACTCTTCGGCTCGGTCGAGAGATGAACTACTACAAGAGCCTATGCTTTGGGCCCTCCCGTCTACAGGTGTGGTGGGACTCTCTGCTCCCCCTCGTTCCTTCTTGTGGATTCTAGAATGGAGGACCAACTGATGGTACGTCCGGAAGATCTTGCCACACTCTTCGCAGTTTGTTGGCTTGTCTTTACGAATCAGACCTTTTTGCTCAGGTGATGGGGAAGGAGTCTCGCTAGACTTGAGTTCATTTCGTAGGCCTCGCCTGGGTTTATCTCCACCACCAGAAGCCCAAATGGCCCCTAGTTCCTCTTTTTCAGAACCAGAGTCCTCATTGTCAGAGTTGGAGTCTGCATTGAGCTCCTTGGCCAAGTTTGGACCTGCTGCGATCTTGCCTCTGGTGGCCAACTGCCAAGACTGGTAGGTGTTAAAAGGATCAAGTTGGGATATCCAGCGTCCCGATGGATGACTCTGTTCAGCTTCTTCTCTTGCACCCGAAGGATGCAACTGTAGGGTCTGCAAAAATGCCTTCTGAGATACAGGAACCTCCTCAGCAGGTTGGCTATCGGAGGACACGTTCTCATCCACTTCCAGTTCACGATTGTGGACCTTGCTGTGCTCAGCCAGAACTTCCTTGTTCAGGAAAAAGAAGCCACATACCATGCACATTTTGTACGACGTGACCACAGGTGATGGGGGTTGGTCTTGGATGATGTCATTAATGGTGGCAGGGATCTCCAGGTCCTGGTTTTTGTTTTTAGCCTTTCCACCATGGGTTCTCATGTGGTTCTTTAGGAACCACGGCTCTTTGAAACGACGTCCACAGAGGCCGCAGCAGTACGTGAAAGAGTCCTTGTGTTTCCGCATGTGCGTTTCCAGCTCGGTCGCATCTGCAACGGCCTGGCCGCACACGACACAACAGAGCTCCTCATTCTTTTCCACAGCTTGGCAGGTCTTAGAACGAGCCCTTTCGCTGGGAGTTAAGAATTCCGCTTCCACACGCAACACTGCGGGAGCGTGGAATGTTGTGGGATGTTGGGAAAGAAGGTGTAGTCCCAGGTCTTCCTGATGCAGGAAAGTCTCCTCGCAAAACATGCAGTCTAGAGGTAGGCTACTTTCTGCCAGCGTGTCTAGTTTTTCCACCACGCTGGCGTGGGGCGTCATGCTAGATCCAGTACCAGGCATGCTTGCATTGCTGTGGCTGAGAATGTCATGACCTAGTCCATCAGGACTTTCCACATATGGGATCAGTGGGTGGGTAGGCATTTCAGCAGGAATTTACTTGGGTATTTCTTTCTTGTTTAGTTTCAGTTGAAAGCTTGTATGAAACAATATGTTGAATGTTATGAGACATGTGAAAAAGAGTCATTCGTTTGAAATACTCATGAAGGACATCATGCATTAGATTACACAATACCAAATAACTCTTAACACTTCCATGGAACTTGCCAAATTTTCCAAACAGGCTTTTAAAATTTCAGTACAGCGCATATGCTAAGAGTTTCAGTAAACCCGTATGATCCATCCTGTACAAGAGAAGCAGTCGAGGCTTGCCAGTCACTGCCAGATAATGGGGCATAAACTTGATCAGTTGATATCTTGTGATTCACACAGAGGAATTGTCCTGACAGGCAAAACCTGAAATTAAGGAAAAAGACAGAGTCAGGTGTGGCCAGTTCTGTGGAATGTAATCAACTCAGGACTACACTTACAAATACAGATGATTAAATTAATGGGGGAGAGAAAACAAGTGCTCATCTCTTTTGTACTGTTACTTAAGATGAAACATGATCTGTCACATGGATCGTTAAAAAAAGATTAGCAACCACACAGGGCTCTAAGTTTGATGTTTTGCTTAAGTTTCTAAAGTAAACTGGAGACAAAAGAAAAGTTGTTTTACGTACACTGCGGCAGTTGCAGCAAATGTAGCTTATCAAAAGTGGATTAAATACAGAGCAAGCAATAATCTAAGCTCATTTCTAAAACAAAAACAAACATTCAATATTTTGTTGTGATAGCAGCCATCATTTTAATTTATATATATA